AATAAAGCCCACATTCCTTGACAGAATACTTTTTTTTTTTTTTTTGGCCAAAGCTTTGTCACAATACTTGGCAAGAATATCAACCTTGTTTGAAAATTTCAGAATTCATGGAGCTGCAAAATGTCAAAGCATGTGTATGAATCCATTGTGCCTTTAACAAATCAAGACTCCAACCTAACCTATATTATTGTATTTATCAAATTAAAAAAAGCCATTCGGATCTTGCTGTAAAGATGAGCCCAAGATCAATTAACATTTTCTTGCGCCATAAAAGACCATATTGTGACAATTTGAAGCCCATATTACGAATGTTTGCAAAAAATTCATTCTCCAAACCAATCCGACATTGGGCCAAATTTATCATTTTGTTCCTTCTTTTTTCCCTTCTGCTTGGTGGGACCCTCGACTCAACCCGTTGATTGGTGACTCACCTTTCTTGGCAGAAATTTAATTTACGCAAAAATGGCACATTTTTTATTTCATAATTTTAATCTAAATGGCCTCCTTCATTCCTGATTATTCCAAGCACCCGTCAATGTCTTGCTTTGTTAATTTTTTATTTTAAACGTAAATCAATTTTCATATGATCAACTATATGTTGCTATATCTCATATGCAAAGCATAACAAGGTTAAAAATATTATTCCTTTTGATCATAAATATAGGAGTGAGTTGAATGATTTATTTTCCTCCTATACACAAATTCTCAATCTCTTTTATCCTTTTTATTTACTCTTTTTCTAAATTACCCCATTATATCCATTATGTGTCTAATCAATGAATTAATATGGATAATCTTCAATGAAAATGATTAAAATTAAGGAGTGTATTTTAAGGGGAAAATTATTGCTGAAGACAAGGAAAAAATAATATTTATTATAAAGGATCAAAACATAGTAATTATTGAGAATGACCAAATATCAAAATATAAATTTTAAAATACAAAATTATCCCTAATCAAATTTCATATGTTTTCTCTCACTACATCACAAATTGAATTTGATAGTTACATTATTGGCAATGGTAAATAAACAAATAATGCTGAAAATCAAAATAAGTGAAAAATTTCTTATGCATTAAAGATCCACAAATAAGTCCTATAAAGATAAGTTAACACTAAAAGATATTTTTGAATTAAACATTTTAAACGCCAATCAATTTTCATATGATCAACTATATGTTGCTATATTTCATATGCAAAGCATGGTAAGGTTAAAAATATTATTCCTTTTGATCATAAATGTAGGAGTGAGTTGGATGGTTTGTTTTCGTCCTATATATAAATTCTCAATCTCTTTTATTCTTTTTATTTACTCTTTTTTTAAATTACCCCATTATATCCATTATGTGTCTAATCAATGAATTAAAATGGATAATCTTCAATGAAAATGATTAAAATTAACGAGTGTATTTTAAAGGGAAAATTATTGCTGAAGACAAGGAAAAATAATATTTATTATAAAGGATCAAAAAATTAGTAATTATTGAGAATGATCAAATATCAAAATATAAATTTTAAAATACACAATTATCCCTAATCAAATTTCATATGTTTTCTCCAATTACATCTCAAATTGAATTTTATAGTTACATTATTGGAAATGGTAAATAAACAAATAATGCTGAAAATCAAAATAAGTGAAAAATTTTTAATGCGTTAAAGATCCCCAAATAAGTCCTATAAAGATAAGTTAATACTAAAAGATCTTTTTTAATTAAGCATTTTAAATATTTAATTATTAATTATTTAAATACATTATTAATTATTAAGTATTTAATAATTAAATATTTAAATATTTAGCCATTTACATGATTTAATTATTTAATTATTAAATATTCACTACAAAAACAAATATTTTTTTGGATTAAACATTTTAAATACTTCTTCTGATGATTAATATAAGTAACTTTTAATTATCCCGTCAAAACCAAGAAATGTTATTTGCATAATCAAAATTGATAGGAATTGTTTAAGTTTCCAACTTTGCCTTCAAAATTAATATTGTAACAAAGAAAGAAAAACATATGCTTTGTGAAGGGACTGAAATCTCCAGATGAAGCCCAGATTCCTTGGTCAAAATAGTTGGCAAGAACACAGCTACCTTGTTCTAAAATTTCATAATCCTTGAGCAACAAAACTATCAAAGAATGTGTATAAATCCATTGAGCCTTTAATGAATCTAGATTCCAACCCAACCTATATTGAATATATCTAATGAAAAACAAAAAGGCATTTGGGTCTTGCTGTAAAGATGAGCCCAAGGTGGACTAACATTTTCTTGAGCCACAGAAGCCCATCTTGCGCAAACTTGAAGCTCATACAAAGAATGTTTGCATAAGATTCAAGCTTCATAAGATTTAGTCTTACCCCATGGTAGGAATCAGTGGCATCTCCAAGCCAATCCCACATTCAGCTTTCAACATTCATTCTTGCAAAACATCACACCCACAACAAATCAAAATAATCATTTCTTAAGTAAGTAGGTGTGACATAGATAATAGGGTTTGAGTCCCTCAAATATCATTTCTCAATTCAATTCCTAAAAGTGTATAAAAACATCACTTAGAAGAAAACACCACCTCATATGGCAGTTAAATTCCTTAATTGATTAATCTTATAATTGCCGGCTGAGGAAATACCTTATATAAAGTAAAAGTGAAGATATATTGTACCAAAAAACATAAGTAAACATATCTTTTGCCAAAAAAAAAACAATAATTAAACATATCAAATCCCCATATACTATCCGCCCCAATATCACTGTCCTCCATTCCCCAACAAACTCAAGCACACCACACATCATTAGAAACGATAGGTTTGCCTTTCGTAAAGGGTTTTCCCCCCAAACAATTAAGTTTAAAACTATTTATATAATTTTTATGTGTGATTATATATACAAGATAGAATTTACTGTTTCTTTTAATCACTAGAAGTTGTTTTTACCAACTCCTGCTTAGTAGGAGTTTGTGCTATTATAAATTACATCCAGCGGCATTTGTAATTATTTTATGGTTTTTGAAAAAAAAATAGGTAAAATTTTAATCTCTTAAATTATATATCTTTTCAATTATACCCTCATCATAAAATACTTTATATACATGTCTAAATAATAATAATTAAAATTTCAATACATAATATTTTAAAAAAATAATAAATAAAATAGTGATATAGTTAAAAAATTATAAAAATAACAAATTGTCATATATTTTAAATCAAGTAAAACTTATAAAAAATATCTTATGGTTACGAGGAGGTGCACCCCTTCATCCTTTATATATATATATATATATATACATATATATACTTCTCAAGCATTTTTTTCAGGTAGGTTAAGAAAAATTATTACATTATTTTATTTTTTAAAAGTATTTTTAATTTTCAATCACACACTTATTAATTAAAGGGAATCTCATCATGCATGCCTGGTTAGAGTTATAAAATTATAGAGATAAAAATGGAACATGATTTGATATCTTGACTGGACATTTTAAAATTTCTTAAAAGGTAAATATAATTATACACTGTTTGTTATCTAATATTTTTTGAATTATAAAATTAATTTTTAAGAAATCAGTATGATAAATCTTAAAAATTTTAAATTAATAAAAATATTTTTATTTTTCAAAAGTTGGCCCAGGCCGATTCGCCTCTGATTACTTCCTCTATCAGTTTTGCATGCATCAATACATTTTGTTTTTCTTTCATGGTTTTTTCAATTAATAAAATTGTTATAACTTGTAATCCACCTGGGCCATTAAAATTTGAATATTTTATAATAACATGTGGTTTTTATCCTTTAATTATTTATATTATTTTCATATTTAGATCCTTATGAAATATTATTTCGAAACTAATTTGATTAATATTATTTAGTTTTTGTCGATTAATAGTTTTTTTAGAGTTAATGCACATTTTTACTCTTAATTTTTTTTAGGAGCAATGGGCATCCTATATTAATAAGTGAGCCAATTTTATTCTTAAAATATTTTTTTCAAGAAGCAAAAAATTTCTTCTGTCAGTCAATTGTTAATTTTGTCAGTAAGGCTAAAGTGGTACTCAGTGCTTTTAAAAAAAAGACTTCAGAGTGCTCGGTATTTTGAAGAAAAGAGTTCAGGAGTAAATTATCACAAAAAAAGCAAATTTAATTGTATTTTTCAAATTCATTTAATCTTGGATTTCATAACTAAACAAATTAAAAAAATAATCTAAATATCAATTACAGTAAAAGTACAAAAAAAAGAGTTTGTTTTGATGAAACATTCCCCCCTTCCTAATATGGTCTATTCATTTAAAAGTATAAAGCATTTTTAATCAAATCTCACTCTCCCTTCATTTAAAAATATAAAGTATTTTAATCAAATCTCACTCTTAATAAAATAATTATTTATTTTTAAACTAATTTTATTTTTTCATATTTACCCCTATTAAACACCCAAATAAATAAAGTGATTCATTTAATAGGGATACTTAAAAAAATAATAATTATATTTTAAAAAATTAAAAATACCTTATATTTTTAATATTTAACTTTTTAAAAAATATTTTAACGGTATATTTTGTTAAAAATTCAAGTGGGCTTTGTGGTATTGAATACAATTTAATATTAATATTGATGGATGATATTAATACTGAGTAATAGTCACTCGTTTAATTGTCCTATTTTAGTGGATTCGCAAAATTTCTCATTTTGTCCCCCTGACTCAACCCATTCAATATAGACTCATCTTTCTTGGCACAAATTTAATGTTTTTATTTCACAATTTTATTTTAAATGGCCACACTCGTTCTTGACTATTCCAAGCCCCCGTCAATGGCTTGCTTCAGTACATCCTAGAGTTACGTCAATGTCTTGCTTTTTTATTTTTTATTTTTTATTTTAAACGAAAATCAATTTCCAGAGGACCCACCATTTTCCTTTAATTTCTTTCTCTTCTGAGTTGTATTCCATCCGTCTACTTTCGTCTCTGAGCCCTTTTCGCAGCTTTACGATGCATATTCCCATGGCTTCCATTACTCTGTTCTTGCTGTTTGCACTGCTATTTGCAAACACAGTTACAAATCAACAAAACCATTCCACCTTCATAAGTTTGGGCTCATCGATCTCCCCAAAAAACTCTACTTCGTGGGTGTCGCCCTCTGGTCTCTTTACCTTCGGCTTTTATCCACAAGGTAACGGCTTTGCCGTTGAGATATGGCTTAAGGGTGAACCTCAAAACACCACCGTTTGGACGGCTAAGCGTGACGATCCACCCGTGTCCTCTGATTCTATCGTCTACTTAACCGTAGACGGTCTGATGCTGCTTCGAAGAAAGGAAGACAATGAATTACTCACTGACAATGTGTCAATGCCGCCTGTAGCTTCAGCATGTATGCTTGATTCTGGGAATTTTGTGCTTTACAATGAAAGTCATAGTGTTATCTGGCAAAGCTTTGACTTCACCACTCACACCTTATTAGGAGGTCAGAATTTTTCTTATTATGATACACTGATCTCTGCCTTGTCCAATTCAGATCACTCAAGTGGATATTTTGCTCTCTGTATGGATTATGACGGAAATCTTACTGCTTACCCAATGTCATATGAATCGAATGTTTACTGGAGCACAAATGTTCCAAACAATTTTTGGGAAATGGAATATCCACATCCATTTATGAGTTTGAATCTTACAGGCTCTCTTGAAATATGGGATTTCAACCATACCCAAGTTTTATGTTGTGGCCAATAGCACCTCCTATGTTGCAAAGAATGCAACCTTAGTCTACCGAGCAACACTCCATGTGGATGGGAATTTTAGATTGTATGTCCACCAATTTGAGAAGAATGCTAGCTCAAACGTGAAAGTTATGTGGCAGGCTTTGTTAAATCAATGTGAAGTCAATGGTTTTGTGGCTTCAACAGTTATTGCTCAAAAAATGGCACCAAATCTGTTTGTCAATGTTATCCTGGATTCGTACAGTTCAAAAGTGATAATAACATGTTCCTGGAATGCAAACGGACGAGGAATGAAACCAATGATGATCTAATGTTGCTCTACGATGTTATTACTTTGCCCGACATGAACTGGAGCACTCCTCCTTATTTGGCTATGCCATTGAACTTGAAAGCTTGTGAAAAGTCTTGCAAGGAAGACTGGGATTGTCGGGCAGCATTTTATACAAGTGGAAGTTGCAAGAAATATAAGCTTCCTCTTAGATTTGGAAGAATTGTTCACAATGAATCAGGCATTGCCATCTTGAAGTTGCCTATAGGAACTAAAGCCCCTCCAAACATCACCACCCCATCTGGAGGGAAATCGATCCTTGTTGATGACAAAAAAAGTTTGATTTTGACTCTCATCCTAACTTTGGGTTCAATTTCATTTGTCTGCTTTGTCGCTGCATTATCTATTTTCTTCATCTACAAGCATCAAGTCTCTTTGTACACAAAGTTGTCTACAAATGAGAATCTAGGATTCACTGAGGATTATAGTTTGCGAACATTTTCATTTGATGAATTGGTGAACTCAACAGGAAACTTTAAAGAAGAGGTTGGCAAAGGATCTTTTGAAACAGTTTATAGAGGTACAATACATGGGAGTAACAAAAGGGTTGCTGTGAAGAAGCTAGATGTCCTTGATGAAGGGCAGAGGGAATTCAAAGCAGAAGTTACTGCAATTGCTTGAACTCATCATAGAAATTTGGTTCAACTCCTTGGCTATTGCATTGATGGTTCCAGAAAGCTTCTTGTTTATGAATATATGAGCAATGGGTCACTAGCAGATTTCCTGTTCAAGGCCGAGATGCACCTATCATGGAGAGAAAGAGTCAAAATCGCATTCGATGTAGCAAGAGGAGTTTTGTATCTACATGAAGAGTGTGAAGTTTGTATTGTCCATTGCAATATCAAACCTCAAAACATACTCATGGATGAAATGTGGACAGCAAAAGTATCTGATTTTGGACTTGCAAGGCTATCAATTCCAGAACATTCAAGAACTACATCTGCAAATGAATCAACAAGTGGCTATGTGGCACCTGAAGGACAAAAAGATGCATTAGCATCTGTAAAAGTTGATGTCTATAGTTATGGTGTGGTGCTATTGGAGATTATATGTTGTAGAAGAAATATAGACGTTAAGGTCTCCTCAGAAGAGGAAATTATGCTTTCAACTTGGGTGTACAATTGCTTTGTGAGAGGAGAATTGAATAAATTAGCAGTAGATGATGAAGATGTAGAATGGAAGACAATGGAAAGAATGGTGAAGGTGGGGTTATGGTGCATCCAGGAAAATTTATCTTTACGTCCGTCAATGAAGAATGTGATATTGATGTTGGAAGGGTTAAAAGATATTCCAACTCCTCCATGTCTAGCTCCTCTTGTTGGATAATTTGCAAGATCATGGATCTTGGTGTGCAAATATCCATCCTAATAATGGTGCTGTCACATTCAAGGTTTTATATTTACCTTTCTATCTTAGGCCTATATGTTGCTAAGGCAAGTTTATTTATCTTAATGTCATGTTTTCACAATAGCACGCTAGTTTCCAAATGCGTTGCATTGCAGTTTATTTATGATATAAATATCCAAGGTCAATTGAAATTATTTAAGAGGCCTGATATATTATTATTTATCTATTTTCATATTATTTTTTTAGATTTTAAATTTTATAATCAAGTAATTCTAACATTTCTATTTGACATTTTTACCACTCAAAATCCTATAAAAAAAATTAAAACAGTCATAATTTCAAACTAAAAGTAAAATAAAGAATAAAAGAGCAACAAACACGATTGATGTGACTGACACCTTAGATCTATGATTGGTGTTCTTTGCTTTAGACAAAACTCCAATAAGAAAATAAAAGGATATTAATTAATAGTAGCAAATGGCAGAAAGAAGCAAATCAATGAAGCAACAATGCAACAAGTTGAGCATGAGCAACAGAGCAATAAATTTCGAGAATTGATATTGGGAATGTGAGTAATAGTTGCCGTGAAATATGGGGCAATAAATTTTTAATATGAAGATGTAATTAATATTAATGCTTGATAAAAAAAATGATGACTAGTTTTATAGGATATATTCAAGCTATAAATTCTTAATGAAAATATCAATACTTGATGGGAAAACATATGACCAATTATGTTAGGGTATAAGAAAATATTTTTGAGTTCTAAGGACGGTGGCCTTAATGGCCTAATACCATACACTGCCATGTGATCATTATGTTGTTTGGTAGGAGAGGGGGGGGGGGACAAAGTAAAAATTTGATAAAAAAAAATCAAGATCACATACAATGATAGAATACCTAACATGATCAAACTAATTAAGTCAAATACATTTTTGTTGAGGGTTATAATTTTAAGTTACGGATGGCAATTTTCTACCTTTCTCACTCTTTATCTAAAAGAAACTTTAGAGCACAAATTCTTGGATGGACCTAGCATACCAATTCATCTATAATCCATCCAATAAAATTATATTAATTTAATTAAATAAAATATTACGTGCTATTATTTTTAATGAATTTATTTTTATAATAAGATGCTTATTTAATTTCTCGTATTTTCTCTCTCTAATATATATATATATATATATATGTATATGTATGTATGTATGTTAATACTTGACGGAAAAAAATAATTTTTTTTCTCTAGTATCAATGTCAAAATTAGCTTATATTTAATACTATTTGAATGTTATATTTTTATTGAATGAACTATGAATGACATGGTGTACCACATCCATCTAAAAATTTTTCTCTTTAAAGACTAATTTAATTTAATAGTTGTCACCTTGTGATCATTGTGATATAATTAGCTAGAGTAGTTATTGGATAAATTGAATTAATTATTGATCTGCAGGTCATTAGCTATTGACACTTACAATTACCCATGAGGTAAACTTTAAAACATTAGGTATTACCAATGTTAAGAAAAGCAGACTATTTATTAAATTGAATGAGGTATGGGTTAACAATTCAATAGTTGAATTGTGGTTTGAACTATGGTTTCACCGGTCATGAATAAATTAATATGTTTTAAATAATATATTGTTAAAATAAAAAGAAATAATTGTTTACAATAAGAAAAGTGATTTTAATTTTGAAAAAAATAATATAAAATAAAAAAAACAATATCCATTACTATTCCATCATTTTAATCCAAAATACATATACTTATTTTATAATTTATAATTTATAACGTTAAAATATAAACATACATACACATTTTATGCATATTTCTAACACATGTTCAGTTTTTTCATTTACCAATGCTTATTAGGTATAAACATGTGTAAATTATAATTTAAAAATATAAATTAAAATATTCAAAATTTTAAAAAATAAAAAAGGACCAATTCAACTAGTCAGCCCACTGGTTATGCTGGTTCTAGCTAATTTGAGACCATTTCAAACCGATTCTTGGGCAGTTCTCGGATGGACAATTTTTTATGGTAACTAGACCGGTTCCTAATTCAACCGATCAAACCAACCATCCATAATACAGTTGATTATTACTTACAATGATTTTAATGTCATTTTATTTGGACTAAAATGTGAGTGGGTCGAATTCCACATCATTGGCCCCAAACAAGTGAACGGGTACAAGGCCTAATCCTTAAAGTAAGGAGTTGTTAGATGCACATTATTTTGATGATTACAAAATTTGAGAGAAGGTTTTGTTACTTGTACAAATTATAAAATCAAGATTTTTGCAAAAGCAACTAGGAGGGTAAAGGATCAAGTGAACAAGAGGGGACTTTAAACAAATGGGTTTATTCTTTTTTGTTTCCCCTCTTAGCATGATGTTTAAAAACATTTTTGAGAGCGTGCATTTGCATATAAATGGTGAAATACTAACTGGGGACAAATCATATGCTCATAAACCATGATCATATAATATTTTTTAAATTACTTATTGGTATTGTTGCTAATAATGGTGATATGTTAATCTCCCGATAACTGATCATAGTGTTTGGTCAAATATCATATATTAGGCTTTTTTATTGGTAAGAAATAATATTTATATCTTGGTATTTTTATATAACTTGTGGAGCTTACTCAGTATAATTTTTTATAAGGTACTTAAGTGTAATTATGTGGATCATTTTCTATAAATTTTTAGGTTATTTTTTATAATTTAACTAATGGTTAAAGTTATTTTTTAATGATAGGGTGCTCAACACACCATTTTCAAATGTTAAAAGGAAAAAAAATGCATTACATGTAAGTTTAGGATACTAGATGTTCCTTAGCGAATAATTGAAGGGTAAAAATATATTTTAACCCTTTTATATATTATTATTTCATGATGCCAGGGATAGATTTGTATTCTGTACGTGGGCTGCGGGTAACATAAATGATATGCATTTTAAATAAAAAAGGGTTAACACATATGTTTCATCCTAAAGTATACCATCAGGGACATCCAATGTTCTAAACTCAACTCTATTAAATTACTATTAGAAAAATTAAAATTAGTGTTAGATCTCCAATCTGTCACTAATTATAGATATTAGTGATAGAAATTTTATGACAAACAGAAATCTATCACTAATTATGAAAATTAGTGATGGATATAGAATGTTATCACATTTTGATCAAATTTTATAAATTTAGTGACCGATTTAAATCCGTCACTACTTTCCATTACTTAATATTTATATTAGTGATAGATATTATTTAATTAAAAAACTAGTAAAATGTGCTTAAATATTTTATAAAAAATAAAAAATTTAAAATATATAAAGAAAAATTTATATGAAAAAATATTCTAAATTACCAAACTAAATAATTATGCAAATAATATTTTCTCTTATTATAAGTAAAATATGTAATATAAAATAATATATAGAAAATAACAAATTATTTTTTATTTTATTATGTAAATTAAAATATAAAAATAATTTTTATCATATGAAAATATTTTAATTACAATATAGATAATATAAAATGATATACACAAATATTTATTTTTATAATAAATATTAATAGATATTAAAAATATATTTATTAACAAATAATATATATTGAATTATATATTTATATGTGTTAATGTATCTATATAATAATATATATTATCAACATATTAAATATTTAGAAAATACATTAAGTTAAATTTATGTCTTCAATTAAGATATATATATATATATATATATAATTTTACATATTAAGATTGAAAAGTCATCATAACTTAATTGGCAAAAAGTACGAACGAAAAGAGAGGTCTTGAGTTCGAGACAAGACAATGCCACAAGTAAGAAGAATTAAAATAGAATGTTGATATAGCTATGACATGGCATGGAGGTTCAAGTGGTGATAATGTAGCGGGTGATTGGGGTGATGTATATTTGAGAGGTGGCATGGGAGGTGACAATGCAGTGATTGGACAGGCAAAATTTTTTTAATTATAAAGCAAATTAGTGATAAAGGTTTATTAATTAGTGACATATATTTTCCATCACTATATTAATAACAGACGATCCATCATTAAATATAAAATTAATGATGAATTTTGCTGATTATTGATGGATTTGTCCATCACTAGTTTCATTTTTTCTAACAGTGAATCTTCCCCTTAAACTTCAAAAAACAGTTCAATTTGCCTCTAGTTTGTTAAGAGAAAGTTAACATCCATTAAATAATAGTGAGGGTCTCGTAAAGTGGTCTGGGTGTAATCTAATGTGTTTTTATCTTGCTTATGTGGCTTGCCTTGTAAAGTGACTTAAAAAATGTATATATTTTGATGCCTTTTCATTTCATCATCTCACCCTCCCCTCTCTCTCGGGAGGATCCCTCACCCTCATTGCCTCCTCTTCGTCTCCCTTGCCTCTACCATCATCACCACCTCTTCATCTCCCCTTCCTTTGTCGTTCACTACCTCTTCTTTGTCTCTCCTTCCTCCATTGTCACCACTAACAAATCCCAAATCTTATCTGCACCCTTCTTCCATGTCGCTAAAGCAAATCTGGGTGAAGAAAATATGGACTTTACATTGTCCATCGCTGCTGCTCTCTTGCTCGCAATTTAGTTTCAAGTCAGCCATTATCGCAACTCGTGGATTGCTCCATTGCATCACGTTCACCACTACTCTGTCACACTGATCTCCGTTTTCTCTCCTTGTGCCATCCAACTTCATCAATTTTTTCTTGATTTGTTCTAGGATTTTTTTATTTCTCTTCAATTTTTTCTTTGCTTTGTTATGTTGTTTCAATTTGTTCTATTTAGGGATTTTCTGGTTTTAGTTCTGTATAGATCTCATGTTGTTCTTGTAAGATTTAGAAGCAACACCCAAGAGAGGGATAAATTGGGTGTTTAGCAAAATTTTGACTTTTAAAAGTTTCTTTTAAAACTTGTGTTTGATAGGAAGTGAAACAAAATATTAGTCAAAATACTATTCAAGAAATCTTTACAAAATTTGGTTCCATGGGTATCGCAAAGCCAAATGAACACTTAAATCAAGGATGCAAGAGAACACAAAAACATGCATGTTTTAGGTTCATCCTTTTGTGGATGAGTAATGCAAAAAAGCTTTTAGTGAGACTAAGATCAAAATACATGAGGAGACTCTCTAGAACTTG